TGGATTTTGTAAAGACCAAAACCACTGGATTTTGTACAGAAGCACCATATATGCTGAGTTGAAAGAGACCCATTAGGATCACCAAATCCAACTCCTGGCCCTGTACAGGAGACCCCAAGAATCCCACCAGGTACCTGAGAGCATTGTCCAAACACATCTTGAACTCTGTCAGGCTTGGTGCTCTGACCACTTCCCTGGGGAGCCTGTTCTAGTGCCCAAACACCTCTGGGTGAAAAACCTTTTCCAAATTCCTAACATAAACTTACCCCACTTCAGCCTAATGCCGTTTCCTCGAGTCCTGTTACCAGTCATGAGAGTGAAGATATCACTGCCTGCCCCTCCTCTTTCCCTCACAAGGAAATTGGAGACTGCAGTGAGGTCTCCCCCTCAGTCCCCTCTTCTCCAGGCTGAACAGACCAAGTGACCTCAGCTGCTCCTCACAGGGCTTTCCCACCAGATCCTTCACCATCCTCATGGCCCTCCTTAGGACACTCTCTAATAGCTTTATGTCATTTTTATATTCTGGCACCCAAAACTGTCCCCAGCACTGGAGGTGAGGCTGCCCCAGCTCAGAGCAGAGTGGGACAATCCCCTCCCTTGCCTGGCTGGTGACGCTGGGCCTGATGCCCCCCAGGACAGGGTTGGCCCTCCTGGCTGCCAGGGCACTGCTGGCTCTGATCCAGCTTCCCATAGTCCAGGACCCCCGGGGCACTTTCTACAGCCTCTCATTTCCTAATGTAAACACATAACCAGGGTTGCCCTGTCCCAGGTGCAGATTCCATGTTGTTAAACTTCATACAGCTGGAGATTGATTGACCATCTCTCTAATTTGTCAATGTCTAATTTGTCAACCTCTCTGCCCTCCAGGGAGTCGGCAGTTCTTCCAATTTGCACAATTATTTGGAGAACAAATAAATTAATACTTTTCCTGCATCATCTCACAAAAGGTAAATGTGGCCATTTAGTGAGACTGCACTCATGTATATGTGTTCATTGTCAGGGCCCTGAGGACATTCTCCCTTCACCTCTCCCAGGCTTTTGGCTGCCAGACCTCTGGGCCTCCTTAGAAAAGGGTGCAGGTGTCTGGTTTTTAAATGAGCTGTTGGGAGAATCTGCTCTGCAGGGTCCCAGTGGGGCTCCCTGCTTAGCTTGGGAGCAGTTTTTAAGCGCACAGACTCATGCTCAGTGCCTTCCTGCAGTTGACTTGCACCTGTCAGTTTTCCACCTTGACAGCCTTGGACTTGCCCCATTGCTGAAGACTCGTCTAATGATCTGTTCGACCCAGTTTGCTGCCAGAGGACCTGTCCTGCTCATCTTGTTCAATGCCATGGGAAAATGCCCTTGTCAGGGAGGGTCCTGTCTGCTTTGCCCTCACCCTTGGCTCCTGGCATACCAACATGCATACACGTATCTTTCTATGCAAAGTTACAAAGTTACATTTTTGAGCTGTTCTTCATTTCATTTTCTACCACCTGTGTTGCCACTCAGGCTATCAAGTGACTATGGAACATTGACTTACCTGTGTTTACATTCAGCTATGGACATCCTCATTTTTAGATGCCACAGCAGATAACATGAAAGGAAAAGAAAAACAACCAAAGTGGTCTTGGCCCTGTTAAAATGAAACTGCAGTGGTATTTTCACTAGCAAGCAAATTGGAAAAATATCTGCTTAAGAAACTGATACTGTACACAATAAATTTGTGCTCTGAAGGTGTTGAATAATTCAGTTCCAATGAGCAGACTGATTCTGTTATCTATATTAAACTGCTTGACATAAGCAAGTTGAGTAAATGAAGTACTTTTTAAAAAATACACCGAAACAGAGAAACACAAAATTGCACTGGAGATAGCCACGCTTCCAGACCAGATCCAGGCTTAGAGTGTAATAGTTTGCTATGTCTTAAAAATAGGCAAAAGTAAAATTAATGAAAGGTAGGTACCACTGAGTAAGAAAAGCTGCTACAAAGAAGTCATGCTGCGTGTACAGAAACCAGAAAGTCTTGAATATTTAGGTAAAGAACTACATAACCATTGTGGTAAACTGATATTATTTCAGTCAGACAAGACACACATTGTCATGACCTGTCATTGATTAATTTGATTTATTTGGATTACATGGATCAGAATTAATTAAAAGAAGTCTTACAGAACCAAGCACATGGGGTCTGTGCTGATGATAGTCATAATTTTTTTAAAACTTAAAAATAGGCCAATTAAAGGGAAAAAATTGAGTTAACTTTGCTGAGCAGTGCAAGGTTGCTACAGAAACACAGGCCATGCTGCAGGCATGCAGAAAATTGCAGTTGCAGCCATGGGTGTCAGAATCACCTCGTATCTTATCACCTTCTTAGCTGAAGAAACACAGTTACCAGAGGAGACAGAGCATTTCAGCAGTGCATAGCGCCACAATAAAAGGTACAAAATGTTCTGATCAGGTTTTTCTTACAGAAGTATCAAACTGCCTTCTGTGGGTTAATGGGTGAATAGAGCCTGACCTAGATGTCAGTGTCAGGACCAGTGGCAATTACTGGCAGGATTATCTGTGATGTTTACACTTGCCAGCAAAACAGAGCCAAGTCAGGTTTAGCTAAGTTGCACAGCTTTATATAAAGCAATAGTTTTCATGTCTTTACTAGGGTTATCTGCAAGGGGCTTAATCATGTTTTAGCAAGCATCCTGTCTTGATGCTTCCTAATTCAGGACAGCTTACACAATTATTTGGAGTGACATCAACATATGTTCTCAGCTGACTGATATTTTCCTGATTTCATGTGTAGATGAAAACAAGGACCAGAGATGTATACAGGTACTGACAGAATGAATGAAGGCAGATTTGTTCTTTTTTGTTCTTTCCTTTCTATATAAATATCTTGATAGTAAATGCATCTGCAAAATATAATAAATAAATGCCTAAGAAGATATTTTAGGTTGTGCCTAATGAAAACCACATAGATTGTTTTTCCCACCCAATTACCTTCTTGCAACTGTCAGCCTTACCTTGCTATCCACTATTCCTATCCTAGTCAGACATATGTAGATATGTGTGCTGCTGATGGCTGTAGCTGATGGTTTATTCTTTTGTTTTCTTTCTCCCCCTGCTGATATTACTAGATCGAAATGCCTCTGCTTTTCCTTCTCTTCATCTTGCTTTTTTACTAGGCTTTAGGTTTCCTTCTGAAAGAATAACACATTATAATTGCATCATTAGGCATACAACACTAGAAGGGAAAATTCTGACCAGAAGTGGGGTTTTCTTTTCATTGATGCTACGTGGTCTTCAGTGTAAGGGAAAGATTTAGTCTGTAGTGTCCATGCTTCTGGATTTATTCCCGTTTGTGTATTGGGAAGCTTTCAGACACATCCTGAAAATTGTAGCAGGAAGGACTGCATGGCTGGGTGGGTGTGCCCACAAAGGAAAAATGTAGGAATCCCAACTCTTAGCAGTTCGAAAGAGAGGCTCCATACTGACACCACTGTAGGCAGACAGGCCCTTTGGGGCAGAGAACTCTTCCAGCTGTTACCACGCTAAAATCAAAGCTCTTGAAAGTGATAAGTTCATTACAAATTCAAAAACCAGTCATTTTCAAACTGACTGCCATTCTGCCCTGGGATTGGCACCGTTGCATTCTAATGACTTTCATGATCTTGCATTTTTAGAAGAATGTAGCCATTTTTACTGAGATGTACTGAATGTACTTACTTCCCTCAAATCCCAGTATTTGCTGGAGCAGAGTGGGTTGTCTGGTCCTTCCCGGGGGAGGTTGGGGCTATCTTGGCTCCGTGCTGGGGCTTCCACACGGAAGGGGCCAGGACTGAAAGCTCTTGCTGACGCTCACCGGGGCTCTGCCCTTGCGCTCCCTTGTAAGGATATCGCTCATCTAATGCCTCGCGCCAGTCAGAACCCAGGCTCAAAAGAGAAAACTCAAATGAAAGCCCCTCCAGCCAGGGCTCCCGAGCAAAACGAAGCGGGAGGGAGAGCTGTTGCTGTCCTGCGCCTTCGCTTGGAAGCTCCTTCGCACTCCCAACTGCACTTGCTCTAAGATCTGACCCCATTCTCGCCAGAAGAAAAGCTCCCAGCAGAGCCATTGCCTTGGGCTCACAGAGGGGCCGGGGGGTTCGAATCTCAGCGTTCTTTGGCAGTCTCTTCACCACCAAACAGGTGCCCCACGAGCAATCCTCCTCCAAGGAGCACGTTTGTCCCCGCCTCGTTTACAGCCCCGGATCCTCTCCTCGCAGTCCCCGAAGCTTCTTTCCTGCGGACGGCTGCGAGGCCACAGGGACCGTATTTGCCGGTTCCCGTCGCGACCCCAGGACCGCCACCCCCACGGTCACGCTTCCCCGCGGGTCTGGCTCCCTGCATCCTGGCTCCCCGCCGACCGCCCAGCCCAGGCCACCCCACCCCTGCCCGGCACCTCCCCGCCCATCTCCGCTCCGCCTCCGCGGGGCGTGCAGGGGAGCGGCCGCTGTCCCATCGCTGCTTCCCGAGCGGCCGCCGCGCCACGGGGCCCGCTCACCGCCGGTCTCTGCAGGTGAGCGGCTCGGGGCCCGGGCTCCGGGCTCGGGCAGGGGGCGGCGGTGGCGGCCGTGTGCCCGCCGTGTCCGGCTGATTCACCGCGGGCTGCCGCTCCCCTCCCCCTGCGGCCGGGACGCTCCCGCAGCGCGCCGCCGTCCGCCTTCCTTGGGGCTGAGGAAGGGCAGCATCGGGGACGGGCGGACGGGCTCGCTTGGTCCGGTTTTAGCCTAATTATTGTTTCCATTAGGTCGAGCGCGAAGTTCCGCGGTGCTTGTGCGAGCGCGCCGGGCGCTGTTTCCTGAGCGGGGCTCGTCCTTGCCGGAGAAAAGGGTGGCATCGCAGGGAAGGGTGGTGGGCGCGGTGCTGGCGAGTCCTGGAAAGGCGCGGTGTCCTTGGCATCGTGCCGCGATTTGCCCGATTTGAGGGCTAGCGCCTTAGCGCTGCAGATAAGGGCGGGGATGGGGGCAGGGGAGCGGTGTGACACAGGTACACCGGGAGATTCGCTGAATCTGTGCCGCCGCCGAAACAAAGGTGACACTGGTGACCCGCAGCTTCGTGGGCTTGTCGCGTAACCGGGAGGAGTTTCACATCTGTGGAAGTGTGTACGCGGCGTGGCATCGGTGGTGGGTTTTCAAATGCGGAAATGAATTTATTGTGTGTGAGAGACAGAGAGAGAGAGAGAGAGAGATACTAATCTATATGTGCGTGTGTGTGTAAAGCCTATAAAAACCTCAGTCACTACAAACTGCTGGAACTACAAGCACAGGAAACGTAATATCTTGTTCGAGGTGTGACAGGTTTACTGCATGACAATGCTAATTAGACTTCTTGTAAAAAGGTAGATCAAAATTCTTTCAGCATCGCGGAATTACATTTTCTCGCCTCATAATCCCACAGCTTTGGTCTCTGCGCTATGTCCTCTGGTTTAAAACAGAAAACTGAACTCAGAATATTACTTGGGCTGTGCTCCAGTTGTAATGGATGTGTACTAATACTGATGAAACTGTAACAGGAAGCACCTTTTTGGGAAAGAGAAAAGTGCAGAGTAGGACCAAGACAAACGTCTCATTCTTCCTCTTAACCTGGCAGTTTGTCAGCATTTAGAGGACAATCTGCAGTCTAAAGGGAAATTACAGTACAGAAAACTGCTCATTTCCTTTTCACGTGTGTGTAGGGCAGTAGCTTGCTTGTACTGAAAATGGAGATCGAATGCCTTCGTTCTTGTGTCATTATGTTTTCCCGAGTGTCTGACGTGTTCCGTTTCCAGATCTGCTAAGTCCTTTATGCGTTTTCTGACCATTAGGACTGGGTTCTACTTAAAACGAGTGTTGTGGGCTTCCGTAGTAACTAGCAGGTTCTTTTCCTCTCGTAAGCATATGGATATAAACTAGTGATCACCAGTTTACAATAGCCCAGGCGATGTTGTGCCCATCTTTGTTAGCCTAGGAAATCTAACTTCACATGGTTACATAGGTATCGGGCTCTGACGCAGCCGTGATTTAGTTTGAAAGTTAAGTTGATCTGAGTGTTTTTTAAAATTTTACGGTGTTTCAGCCCTCGTTGAAGAGCCTCTTCCAGGAAGAAATCACTATTCCTTATTCAAGAAAAGCGTAACCTTGAACAACTGAGCGCTGAGAACCGGACTAGAAATCGCTCAGCTGCCCGAGCCGAGCTGAGAGACGCGCTTGGCTTCTTTCATTGCTTGCGGTCCTTTTCTCTGGGAACTTTTGTTTGGCAGCGCCTTCCCGGCGCGCGTGGAAAGGCCTGGAGCGGCCGGGGACGCGCGGGCGGCGCGGGGCGGGGCCGCGGCGGCGCGACCTTTCACCCACTTCTCGGGAGCGGTCACGTGAGCGCGCCCGGCCGGGGGCGGGGGCGCGCCCGCAGCTCGGGGACGGCCCCGGCTGCCCGCGGTCCGCGCTGGGAAGCGGGGGGAGGCTGGAGCCGGGGCGGCCGTGGGCAGCGAGAGGCCCCTCTGTCCATCCCCCGGGCAGTGAGCATGGCCCTGTGCCCACCCCCGGGCACCGAGGGTTGCCCTGTGTCCCTCCTCGGGCGCCGAGAGTGGTGAATCCCAAAATCTCAAAAGAAAGGCGACTTAAGCAAATATCCGTACTAAAACGACAAACGAGTAACACCCTCCCAACCCCCGAAAAAAATCCACAAATAAAGCCCCAGCCAGTCAACAAAGCTCCAAGACTATGTATTATTTTTTTTTAACATTCCAAAACTATTCCCTTAACCCTGCAGCATGCTTGTATCATAGTCCTGAACTCCACGTTTGGAAAAACACGATCTGAATGGCTGGACCCTCTTTCTCCAAGTCTGGGTTTACTTTAATGTGAATGTCAATTTAAATATTTTTGCAAATCTTTGGAACGGGTTCTTCAGTCTTACAGCCTGAACCTTATTGAGGTCTTTCAACCTTGTGCAGTAAATGGTCATTTAATACTGATAAAGCAGTTAACTCAGTTTGATTTGTCATCACCACACATTGTTGTCCATCTTCCAGCATCTCCTAAGTCCTAAAATGTGACACCTTTTATGTCTCGTAAAAGTCCTGCCACTCCAAAAACATTTGTTGTCATAGGGAAGATAGTAATTCTTGTTTACTGCAAGAGCACAGAAGCTCATTAAGTTCAAAGGGAGAGAGAAGGGTTCAACTTGTATAATCTAAATATCTGGGTATGTCATTTATAGCAGTTAAAAAGAAATACCCAGGTCTAGAGCCTAGTTTTTATGAGGTGGGGGAGGTTTCTGCATGGTATGATAACTGTGTAGTGTTTTAGCAGACTGTGCTTCTCTCTTAGATTATTCTGGATTTCTAGAAGGTCAGAGGATGTAGCTTGCTGGGATGTGGACAATATAACATGTATTGCAGTGGAGCCTAGAATGATCTAAGAGGCCTAGGAACAATATAATATGTCCTGTATAAGGAGAAAGAAATCCCGAAAAATAATTCAACAGTTGTAAAAGTTTCTGTTTTGATTTTGGAGAGTGTTGGTGGTTTGTGTTCATTGGGGTTTTTGGGGGGTGTTGTTTATTTGTTGAAGTGTACATTTTGGGACCACATTCTACAGGAGCGTGCTAATGAGAAGAGGAGAGAGATCATATGATCCAGAAACTGTAGGGATTAATATTCCTTAGGGTTAGCCTAGTAATTAATTAACAGATTGTTTGCAAATCTCTGTTTTGCCTGTTTCCAGATCAGGTGAGAAGACAATTTACTAACTGTGGCTTTTCTCCTTGAAGTGCTGGTGGAAACAGTCTATTCTCTGAACACCTCTCCGAGAAATCTTGATGGCATCTGTGTTGAGTCCAGTGGGAGTTTGAAGCCTGCAGATGAACACTTGGTTGGATGTCTTAAACTGAATACTTAGCTTAATGTTGGAGGCTGGCCTCTGAAATTAACTTGCATGTCACAGGAGCTGGCAGTCACTGCTGGAACTCTCAGAAGTAACTGAGTGGGGAGCACATGAACTTTCTGTCACTCCACAGTTCCTCACCATCTTGGACATGTTTAGTGTAAACAGTGTCATTCAGTGTAATGGAAAATAGTGTTTCAGAACTGCTGTCTGTGACTATTTCTCCATTGGCATCAGTTTTTCTGAAATGGTTCCAATATGATCCAGCCCCTCTGAGCAGTTGAAAGCTGTGTGTGAATCAAAGCTCACACTGTTTTTCTTGACTTTCTGTTTGAGAGCTACAGCTGAGTGATTGCCATTGCTGTAGTGTAGTGTCTGTTAGGAGCTAGGAGCATTGGAACGAGTCTGCCTCTTGGTGTGTCCTCATTTATTCAGGGTCTCAGCGGCAGTGAGTTTCTGGGATAGAAGGTTTGTGTGTGCCAAATAAATCTCGAGCCTGCTTTTAAGGAAGACAGCTCTTCAGGTGTGTTTATGTTACATTCATTGGCCTCTTTGTCATTATCTCTTTCCATCCATATAGACCTGTTGCTCCAGTTTACCACGTAGGAAGGGAATAAGAAAATTTGCCCAAGATTCCAAACAAAATATCTGCAGAGGATAATGAATGTAACTCACCCACAGGTGATCTTGGGAAACTGCTGGAGTCAGGACGTAAGCTGTCCACGGTACAGCAAGTTACTGAAGAGTTCTTAGCTGTTTTGATTTCAAACTCTCTCCTGTGGATGAGGTTTGGCTGTGGGTCCTAGTGTTGCTGTAGCTGGGCAGGTACATGTATTCAGTTGTCCACCTTGGCTTGAGCCATAGCATTTGTTCATCTCTTCGTTGTGAGAAATTCTTAAAGACATTTGCAGTTCCAAGAGACCACACCTGTGAGGTGTAGGTGAGGGTGGGAAGGATTGAAGCCAATGATTGGCAATAACCAGATATAAGAACTTGTCCCAACTAAAATGTCATGAGAACACCTGTCAGGTTAATTTTGTTTTCATCAGTACTACGTTAATTCAACTTTTAAAGGAGAGTGACTCCTTGGTTTCTGCTTTATTTGTATGCCATAGTCATTAGGTTCACCTGAAAAGCCTTGGGTGAACTTAATCCTTGTAGCTAATTTTTGCACAGGTATGATTTGGCTTCACTCCTGTCATATTTCTTGTAAAGATTTTATATCAGTAAAACATGATTAGTCATTGTAAGATAGCTGAGTTGGTGGTAAGACTTGAAAGCAGGGAATACTGTGTCATCCTATATGCTGAAGCATGATTAGACATTATTAAAGGTTAGTAGGCAAAGAAGCAATTTAGAAATAGAAATTCTCAAGCGAATAACTGTGTCTGGTTAATCTTTATAGTAAGTTCAGAAATCAACACCTTGTGGAATGTCACATGAGCTAAGTATAAATTCAATGAGCTGCTCTTTTTGAGGTTTCGGTGTCTTAGTACCTTTTTGCGTAAGTGCAGTATATGGGAAGGTGCCATTACCTAAGAGAATATCCAAGAAACAGATATGAAAAAACGGGCAGTCTTTTTGTTCATATGTTTAAATGTTTCAGCTGCATATTTTATACTGTTTACTGAACATTCTATAGAACAAGACCTGAATTTCCTTTAAAAGGCATAGAACTCTAGACAAATTTGCTGTTTGTTTAGATTTCTCTGAAACTGAATGCTTTTTCTGTAGCTTTATTTTTTATTTTGTTTGGCTAAGCATCAAAGGAGCACCAGATGCACACATGTGAAAGCATTTTTGGCATCCTTCTGGCATTCCCTGGTTAGCTGCCTTGCCTTACCGATCCTCTTGCACTAGGGCAGAATTTTGGCATTTGTATGAGTGACTGCCTCCCCACAGCTATCTAACCCCAGAGTGGATGGGACTTTGAGTTACTGAGACAGTGCTGGATGCTGCTGTACAGTGTATACTTCAGTGCCTGAAATTATTGTGTTTGTAGCAAACCCCATGAAAAACCTCCATATACTTTACTGAAGGGACATCTGTTTTATTATTGATAATACAGTAATTTTTAATTTGTTAGGAGCAATCAATGTTTTCTTTAGATAGGTTTATATACATGTAACCTTGAATTTCAAGCTAATTTTTTTTATTAGGCGTTTCTACGGTTTCCCACCATATCAATGCAAAGTATAGGGAGGGCACTCAAAGTCAGCTACCTGCTGCCTTAAGACTGGCAGACTTTCACTGGGCAAGGTAGT